CAAATCAAGTTACTTGCTTTCTGTTCATTCAAAATGAAGCTACCCATGGATTCTTACTTATGTGATGATGTTGTTGGTGGTTTTTAAGTTGTTTCACCTATTTTTTGTTTATTTGAAATAAAGCTATCGATGACTTTTTAGCTATGTGACGAAGTTACCAGGTGACTTTCAAACCGAGTTATTTGCTCTTTATACAAGAAAAGCTGAAGTTATCGATGGCCTCTCACTTATGTGATGAAGTTATCGGTAGCTTCCTAAATTCATGAATCGAAGTGAGAGGCTTCTTATTCATGTCAATAAAGGCTATCAATCTTTAAAAGCTCACTTATTTATCGATATAGTTTGTGTCCACTAAAGGTTAGCCAAAATTCTAATCTCTTCCTTTTTTTCTTTAAGTATGAGTATTGAACTCGGACCGATTTGGACCTCGAATTACTCTATTATTTCATCTCACTAAAAAAATTCACTCAAATAAGCATAAAAACATAATATAGTAAAATCAAAATTTTATGCTTATGTACAAACAATGCGAGCTTACCTTAGGTAGGATAGGGTAGTGATGATCCCGTATCTTCTCCACACATAATCGACTCCTCACACGGATATCTATACGGACTAGTTTGTTTAGGGTTTTTTAGTTCTCTTTAAATAGCTAGATGGAAACTCTAATTCCCATGCCTTTTTTGTAGGCCTTCATTGATAGGTACAATTGAAATGAAAATCAAGGATGTAATTATAAAAAAATAAAACACCCAAGGACCAAATTGAAATTGGGGAGCAAACAACAAGACCAAAACCAATCGAATAACTTGTCATTCACTATAATCCAAAACCAATTCTCAACCATTTTCGTCATCTTCCTTGAGGATAACAACTCTAATTCTGTCTCTACAATTCTTAGTTGCCAATTATACCAATAAAAAATCATGCTGCACACATACCTTTGCACCCACCATGCCGCATCTCTCGCACCACCCTACACATGAATACTAAATTCATTTTTAATTTTGTTTGTTTTGTTCATAAATGGTAAAATCTAGTACTTGGGTTTGATTTGTTATGAGTAAGGGTCCATATTATTTAGGAATGATCCTAGAGTAGGAAATCATTCAAATGTGGCTATAACTTGAGCCCCATTACTGAGCTTGAAGAGGTAGAGATGGAGAGAGAGCAATAGAGAGGGGGATTTAGAGGAGCATTTTTTGGTTTTCTTTTTCTTTCTTTCTTTCTTTTTTTTTTTAAGAAACAAGCATTTTGGGTTTAAGTTTCTTTTGGGTTTTCCAATTTGGGTTCAAGTATCCCATAATCACAATAAGTGTTTGGGTTCATTGTGAGCCTCTTCAAGGCTACATTTTCATCAACCATCCCTCTAAAGTCACCCATCCATTTTGGCCAAACTAGAGTTGTTTTCTAGGTCCCGAGGAGGGAACTTATGGGTTTTCAATCCAGTTTCCAAGTGATTCAAGTTTATCTCAAGTTCCATTTGGTTTCTAAACTCACACCGAGTCCTCGGCGCACTCCTTTTATGCATCATTTGAAAAAAAATCATTTCCTCCCATTTTTGATAAAAATAGGTACTACTCAAAGCACCAATTGCTCTTCGTTCATTCTTGTCAATCATTTCTAAGGTCATTATGGGCTTTCCTTAGGGTAACCAAACACATGTTGCAGTTTAGGACCCCATGACTTACTTGTTCTAAGTTTAAGTTTTGAGTTTCACGGAGCTAGGGAAAGGAGAAGAAGAAGAAAAGAAAGAAAAGAAGGAAAAAAAAGAAAGTAAAGAAAAATAAGAGGGCTAGAGGAAGAGTAAAGAAAAAAAGATTGAGTTGAGGCTGTAAAAGACTAGAGTCGAGCGAGCTCAACTCGAAAGAAAAAAAAAAGTAAGAAAAGGGTTGGGTTCAACAAAACTTTAGATAGAAGAAAAAATAAATGGGTTTTACTTGGATTGACTTGGGCTAGTCCGGACGAGTATAGGCTTCGACTGTCCGATGAGACTTAGCCTAACAAGTCGAAAGCCCACTAGGCCTAAAGGCCCAATAACTTTCAATTTTCTCTAGGATTTATTTCAACTAGTTTTTCTAGGTCAATTAAACCTGAAATTTTTATGCTTGCTTCATGTTTTCATTTCTAGTCTAGATTTAATTTTTTTTTTTATAGAATTTTTGAAGTTATTTTGCCTATTTATTTTAATTTATTTAATTTCATGCCTAGTCATTAATTTATTTTAATGTTTAAATTTTAATTTACCATAATATTTAATGTTAATTAAATACAAAATTGTGTAGGTAGATTTTAGACTCATATGTATGTGTTGGGTTTTTATCTTTTAGGCTTTGGTAATGAAATTTTTGATGTATTTTTATGTTAAATATTGCTTACATAATCAAAGTTAAATTAGGTAATTAATATGTAGACAAATCGTCGAGTCTCTTAATTTTTAGGGACCGATAACAATTCTTCACCAACCTTGGAAAATATAAAAAGAAAAAAGAAAAAAAAGGCAAAATTATAAAAAAAGACAAAAAAAAAGACATAAAAAGAAAAGAAAAGGAAAAGAATAAAAAAAGAAGAGAAATGTTAGGTGAAAATTAACAAGTCTCATGTTCAATAAGGATCGATGTTAATTCAAATTAATTATATTTTAATACGTAGGTCATTCTCCGATATATCGATTATGTGAAGAGTTAAACTCGGATTTAATGTTGAACCGACGAGACTTCTAACAATAAGGTCCGACGATCGATTCAATATGATACCACAAATAAAATTAAACAAAAATGAATTAGGTAATAAACTTGGAAATTGACTCAAAAATATTTTGAAAAAAATAAAAATTTTAGGAGATAAACTCTTAGGATTAAACCGGATGTGGTACCTTTATTCGAAAATGTTGCTTTTGGATGATTGATATCTTTTTAAAAGCATAACCAACTCATTAACCTAGAATCTTTGAATCGGTGTCAATTTTAGATTTTCTAATTCTTTTAATATTAGATGGCGACTCCAAAATGTTGTTTGACTCGCTTCCCAACAAAACAAACAAATTTTAATTTTTAATAGTTTTTGAAAATTAAGTGTCAAGTAGTGACAATATGCATACATATGTTTTACATTTGACTATGATGAAATAAAATATTTTAAATAAATAAATATTGAGATGCATATGTAAATGATGTTTTATGTTGGAAAATATTTTGAATGCATATTGAGGTTTTAATGTTAAAGACAAAGGTTAACTATTGAGGTTCAAATGTTGAGATTGCCTATTGAAGCTTGAATGTTGAGGTTTAGATGTTGAGTTTAATGTGATCTGTATGTTTTTATTGAGGCTAAAATTTATTAGCCCAAGGGCTATCGTATACAAGATTGACATCTTCTAGCTGGCCTAGGTAAAGAAAATATTTTAAAAGATAATCATGTAATAAAAGTTTTTAACATAAAATCATGCATGTTGTATCTTTTACTCTTTGTATATTTCTATCAAATTTTCAGTATATTAATTTTCATTAGCGAGCATAAGCATATAAGATCTACTTAAGTTTGTTAATTTAGTTTTAAATATTTTATTTTATTTATTATTTATTTTTCTTAAAAAAAAAAAGAAACAAAAAACTCAAATGTGTCCTTATATTTTAGGAGTTGTATATTATGTATCTTACATGTATAATTGTAATTATTATATTCTTAAATTATTATATAGTTTCTAGTAGCTCCTATTAGAATATCTCATTCAAATTAACAAAACTTAGCTTGTCTTTTACAAATGAAGCATTAATATTTTTTCTAATGCTAATAGCAAAATGAGAACAATTAAATTCGTCTTTTTTTTTATTCTATTTTATTATATATATTATTTTTCAAAACACGGTGGTTACGGATTGATCGACCTCGCTGTAGAAAATTCATGGCCACACCATACATTTTTTTTTCTTTTTTTTTTTAAACCCAATTTTGGCATTTATGTTGCTATACTTATATCTAGCCAAAAGACTAAACCTATGTAACAAAATATTCCTAATCCCCATTCACTTTATGTTTTTTCTTCCTACAATGACCATTGCTTAATAAATAATATAGAAATTATTTCCTTTTATTTTTCATAATTTTAATATGAAGCTTATTTAATGCGCTATATTTAATTTGATTACAAAATATGATAAAACACATGGCCAATTAAGCATAAAACTAGATTTTAAAAAAATTAAGAAAACGATGCTTGTGGGTTTTTAGTGTCATATATATATATATATATATATATATATTAGTTTCTAAAAAAAATTATATTTATGTATTTGTTATGCTTGGCGTGATTTTAAATTATTTTTATGGTGGTCATTTAATTTTGATGGAATTTATTTAAAGAGTAGAATTAATATTCGATTATGTTTTTTATTTGTTAATTTAGAGATAAACTCCAAAACAAAACATTGAAAATTCCGATAACGAGATATTTCATTCCAATAAAAAGTAAAAAAAGAGAAAAGAACAATATCCTAGAGTACCATATGAGGAACTACAAAAACACCTCAATGCAATTAATCTAGGGTTAGACTAGGTAAAAGGGGGAGCCTGTTCAAAGTCATGCATTGTAAGGATGATTATTTGAGGAGAAGGATAGCCAGTGCTCATGACAGTTCAATAATTTATTGGAGGTGGGATCCAACTTGTTCGACTAATTACAAGTCCCTTAAATTTTGTATTGTCTGGTTTATTTGTATGTCATTTTCTCAGCAATGTAATTTTCTTTCCAATATGTAACTTCCGTATACGAACTAATAACCTTTAGTCAAGGATTATTATCTTATATAAGTGGAGCAATCTTGCCTACTTGCTTAGCAAGTATTTCTTTCATTAAACTTTACATTAGTTTATTTTGAAGTACTTGTCACCAGTTAATTTTTATCTCTATATAAAGCTCCCCGTTTTATGGAGTTTGCAAATGAAATTGAAGCAAATTGGTTATGGATTCCTCTGAGGTCAGTGCAAAGACCACCGCGTACATGGCCCTTCCAAATCCACCTAACGATGCTCCGGTGATTCTTGAATCCGCCCCTGATGTGCCTTCGGCTGCTGATGCCTCTGCCTCCAAAGAAAAGAAAAGGAAGAAGAAGAAAAGGTGTGTTTTGATGTGTTTCTCAAATATAGAGTTGGACATGGAAGAGAAGGAAAAGGCTCTTGAATATTTGGATAATAACAACAATAAATCTTTTTTGGTGATGTGTTTTTCCAATGTTGTGGTTGGTAAAAAAAAGCATCATCTTGGATCTGGTTCAAAAACGGGTGATAAAGGCTGGAAGAATATCTATTAGATATTGTGTTATCCTACAAGTGTTTCCTTCATGATGTCATTCTACTTGTGTTAATTACGTCAGTTTGATTGTTCTAAAATATATGTATTGGATTGAACTATGTACTAATTAGCCAGAAATAAGTTTTGGGTTATAGGGCAATGGAATGTGATGAGATTGTTATTGCAGACTTGTGGGAATATTGTTTAGAAATATATATGATGTGAGATGTGTCTTTTTTATTTTAACTTATGGAGTTGCATCAAGCTGGTAATCAATCATAGAATATTTTGCATTTTCTTTCCCTATACATTAAACAATCTCATGATAATCACCTTCATTATTAACTCAGTAACATTAAATATTGTGGTGTATGGTTTTCTTGTTTTGTTACTAGAAGGCCCAATGGTTTTACGCCATGCAACAAGGAGTAGTCTTTTCTATCACTTCATAATCGAAAAAACTGTAATTATTTGGATTCAAATATTATTTTCCTAAGAGTCTATCAAATATACAATCTTTACGTCAAGTATGCTTGCGCATTATGATATACATTTGATAAAGTAGATTAAAAGAAACATACTAAGATAATTAACAGTAAAACCCAATGACAGTGGACGGTCATGAAAATTTGCTTCTTTCTGTTCGGGTTTGAACTTTAGAGCTAGTATCCAAGACAATTTGTTCTTCTTAATGTATCAATTTGACGTAGATGGTGCATTCTTAAGATTTTCTACAAATATAATTTAGTTTTGTTAACATACAAACTGTCTTGAAAGTATTTCTTAAACGTCAAAACAAAGATATCAAGATTCTATGAGTAAATTTATTTTAGAATGTTTCCTACTCTTTGATTAACCATATGCTTTATCTCTTTACTAGAATTGTTTTTCGGATGTTAATTATTAGAGAAGAAAGTATGAACTGTTAAACCTTGTGGTTCAGATTCACATTCATAGTCTAAAAATCTAAATCATATAAATTTTAAGACATTTCATGTCCAGGAAAAAAGAATTATACATTTCCAAAATAAACTCTTCGGCACACATGTTTAGTGATTTCATATGATGTAAATAACATTTCCGCAGTGTAAATAATGATCGAACCAATAGCTTATTATTGTCAATAACGTAATATCTCTAATACAATTACTTCAACTACAAGTAAAAAAAATAAAAATTGTAATTTGAACCATCAATTTGTTTGATTTACAACAAAAAATATTTATTCAAACCTCCATCCGTTGAGAGGAAGGTTTTGACTTGACTCGCATGACATGGGGATTTTTCCTTTTGAACCGCATAATCATTCTGTATTGCAAGTGGCTAATTGATCTGCAATTAGAAAACAAGAAATCTTTTTTCTGTATTTTTTAATCCAAAATATCAAAGTCCAAATAAAAAACAGATGGTTAATCCTGTTGTTACTAATAAAATAAACATTTTTTTAATTAAATAATGAATATTTCATGAAGTGTTGACTAAGTTAGAAAATGGGTTTGCTCCCTATTTTTTGGGTTTGAATTTAAAGGAGAGTGTGAGAAGAAGAAGGAAAAAAAAAAATTCATGAATATATGAATTAAAATATAGATGTTCATCGGATAAGGTTTAGTTTACTATCGGAAGGATACTTTACCCATTAAAAAAAATTGACACTCATTTGTATACGCATATATATTATGATTTATATGTGCATTTGATATTTGTTAGAAAGTTAATCAAATTTTTATTTCCACTTGAATGCTTAACAAGCAAGTACATTTTGTAAGTTGACTTTTTTTTTCCTTAGCTTCCTAATAGCTTATTGCTACTTTGAATGGTTGCAAATTATAAAAAAAAAAAAAAAACTATTGGAAAAATAGAAGGGTATTCCCTAAAAAAAATTACGAACGGAAAAAAAAAATAGATTTACTAGAATTTTGTAGATGATTGTCTTGAAACATAACCATGTTTTTTTTTTTTTAAGACGATACATGTCGTCCATAGATAATTTTAATGCAACGAATAAAATATATATTGCATGTCATTTCAAAAATACAATAAGTTCTATCACGTTGTCGTATATTAATAAATTTGCACAAATTATATAAATACTCACACACACACACAATTAGTAGGGTATCCTCGAGTCGGCTTTTCTATCGGTTGAGATTAAGTCTACCACTTCCTAGGCAAATTTAGTACCAAAATACATTTAGCATTTGCACTACTTATAAGACTTATAAAAAAGTACCACACTTACGCAAAGGAAGGATAAAAAAAAATTATATAGCTTTTAAAGGGACACTAGAAGAAGAAAAAGAAGAGCAAGAGAGCTCTTGCCTTTTTTTTTTTTTTTGTGCTACAATATCATTGTGAAATGACACGAGCACATACATATAATAATAAAAATTATCTCGTTGTACAATTGACTTAATTGAAAGAATAAAAACTTAAATAGTAAAAGAAAACATTGCAAATTGAATGTCAAAATATCGTTGTTAATTGAATACAAATGTGATAACTCGTCCTAAAAATAATATTACGTTAATAAATTATTATTTTTTATGTATTTAAGAAAAAAATGTTATAAGTTAAATTAGAGGTTAAATATATTTTTAGAATAAATTAGAAATTTGAATTTTGTTATAAAATAAAAATTAGTTCCAAAACCCTATAAAAAAGAAAAGAGAATGAGAATAGGGGGACAAAAAAAAAAAAAAAAACAAAAAGTAGAACTTGTTTTAAAATTCTAGACAACCTCATTCCCTTATTTTCGTCATTCTCTTCTCCTCCCTTTTTCACTCTAAAACTCTCTACTTCGTCTCATTTCCCTCCTCCATTTCTAAGCTTAAGTCTTGGTCAAATACTTTAGAAATTTATGAAAAAAATGATTAAAGTGAAATTTAGCTAAATTAGAGCTTTGAAAGTTTGGAGAGATTGAAGGATTGAAATTGAGGTTGAAGACCCATTTGTCAAAAATGAGAATTTTAATCATTTAATCTTAAAATTGAGATGATTATATGTATTTATGGATTATTTTAGAGGTTTTTTATATTGGTTTTATTGTTTGAACAAGAATTAAGTTAAAACTAAGGTTAAGGGTTGAATTGACTTGAGGATTTGATGATTTAACAATTAATTATGCTAATTAATGCTTAAAATTAGATAATGATGGTGTGAAATTGATTATTGAACTCTGGATTTGAGAAACTTCAAAGTTGGTGGAGATGATGAATTGTAGAGGTAAGTTGTGAGAAAACTAGAATTGGAAACTAATGATGAATTATAGAGATAAGTTGTATGAAAAATTGAGCTGAAAATTGATGATGGATTGTAGAGACATGTTGGGTAAAAGTTGAATAGAAATTTGATGATGGATAATTGGTTGTAGCAAAGTGTAAGGTGTGTTTTTAGAAAAAGATTGTAGAATGAACTTGGAATATAGTTATTAGATAATTGTCTAAAATTGATTGAGAGAGTAAGAGTTTAGTTAAAAATCCTTTATTTGAGTCTTTTTGATAAACATCATTCTTGTAATTTGTCTTCTTTTTTTATTTTTAGAATAATTCATTTTCTTTTGAATTGTTATTTGATATGTGATATTAATGATTATTTGATCATTTTGTATCGTTATATTTTTTCGAAGTGAACGACTCCATCTTAGTAACCTTGACTTCGCTTGATCATTTGATTTCACTATGAGTGAATAGTATATAGCATATCATATTCTTAAATTCCTTTGATATTTCCATCATGCACATTGTTTTAAATATGTTAAAATCATATCCATTAGAACTTAGATAGGAATAAACTCCTTGTGTATTTGAAATGATTTGACATCGAACATGTTTTGATATGATTCTAAAAATGATTAGGAGTTTTGAATAAGTGTTTTACTTAAGATTTGATTTAATGCTATAGATTTAATTACTAATTTGATTGAGATCTCGATTTTGATTTATTTGTATGATTTAGTAAGTATTTGATTTATAATTATGAATATGAGTTTGTATTTGAGCTTAAATTATGAGTATGAGATTAGATATTGAATTACATTACCAAATTATGATTTTGAGCATGAATTGTGTTTTTGAATATATTGGTTTTGGATTTTTAGAATATAAGTGAGATTATTTAATTTTTGATTTGATTGACTACCTTAGGGTACCTAGCTATGAATGACATAGCTTGTTAGTTCAACGATATGAAAATACTCCGGCCAGGTAGAAGAGAAGTAGTGTTAGTCCGTGTGTCGGCCAACATGTAGTATACCTAGATACGGAGGGCCTAGCCTTTGGATGTTCACATCCAATGATATGATATGATTTGATTGCTCCAAGTGTAGATTTTTTATACTTGATATGATTTACTTGATTATGCATGTTTTGATATGAGATTTCGATTATGAGTTTGAACAATTTGAAATATGAGATATGATTTAATATTTAAACATGTATTTGATTTTGAGAAATGCACATTGCATCCTAAATATGTTTTGAATTATCATTCATTTGTTTGTTTTCCTTAGTTATGTTATATGTTATATACTCATCTGGGTTGTTGTTTTGATTATATCCCACTATTTTAGTTTTACATGGTTTACAAGTATTGGTATCAAAGCATAGGTTTCAGAATTTATGATAACTACGGAGCATATGCTCTATTCTAATTTATGTCATCACTTCGAATTATCTTGTTCCCTTGAATTTATATCTCTTTAGATGTGTTGAATTTAAGTTTTTGTTTTGTATAAGTTGTCATGGTGAAGACTAGGTCGGGTGATCATGAAGGAGGTGGTGCCGAGGTTGAGGCATCATCTAGACCTTTGTAGTTTTATGGTAGATCTAGAGCTAGGGAAAAAGTAGACCACGAAGTGATGTCACCAATCGACATCATGAATGATTTTTTGCTATACAATATACTATAGTGACATTGGCTAGGGGTATCCAGTAAAATTTTTGAGCTATGGTAAGGTTAGTATTTGCTTATTTAGGGTTTAGATGAGGTAGACACTTCTATAGTACCACCCGATCAGATTAGCTTTGACGCCTATGTTGTTGAATTTTTAAAATTAAAATCATCAACTTATTTTAATGATAAGGATGATGAAGATCTAATGTACTTTATGGATAAGATAGAGAAGAGATTTATCATGCTTCGATGCCATAAGGAAAGAAAGATTGAGCTGCATGATGTTTTTACTTAAATGGAGTGCCGAGTGATTGGTAT